GGCGATGATTACGCTGCAAATTGATAATGCTACACACGAATCTTGTAATGTTTCAGCTCTTCTTCTAGGGAATGGGGCATGCCATTTGAGCAATAGCACAATTACCTATGAAATTAGCACTATCTGATGAGACCTGACACCCGTTGATGTCACAGCATGCCAATCTCCCTCCTTCACAGCAGAACCGACCATGTTTCATTTACCAGTCGCTAGAAATAACCCCCTTCTACATTTGACACCTTTCAGACTCAAAACCTGCCACTCCTCTGGTCTAGCCAAACTGCTCTCTTTCTCATCAGAAGTGAGCTAAGCCTTCTGATACTGTCACATTTTAAACACCTGTCATATGACACAACATTTGCGTATGACGAAAGCGGTTGAGAAAAAAGTAGAGAGCCAAGAATCGATTTTTGCCCACCTGTTGGATCGATTAAGCAGCCACCCGCTTCGGAAATGATCACCGCTGCTGCTGCCACATCCCAAGCATGAAGACCGTATTCAACCATCGCATCACATGCACCTTGTGCGACCATCATCATGTTGATCGCTGCCGATCCAAAACAACGATGTCTGAACAGATTGCATTATTAGCCTATCGATCGGAACCAGTATATATAGCGGTATAATCTTGTATTCACATTGACAGCTAAGATAAGAAATTCATTAGAAGGGAAAAGGACAAAAAATCAACCACCTACAAGATCTCTTTGTTGCACAAGTACAACTGGAACATTACCAATCCATCCTGTACTAACCCAGTCTATACCAAACAGAGCATGTCAAACCTTTCGGAATACCAGAGGGGTGGATACCAAAGGGGTCGTATTTGGTCGCTGGATTGGAGAGGGAGTCACATTCTGGGCCAGAAAGAACCTTTCTGATTATTGATTTTCCCGTTTCAACGCGTGCTACATACCATCCCTAGTCGCAAAACTACTGCTGAGTGTCTCCTACTTCTCCCAACGATGGCAAAATTTTGGGAAAAGCTGGTAAGAGCGTAGGTGCGATGCGAAACGGAGGGGGACATTTGGAGTGTGGTCGTAGCGACACCGCCATTTCCTCGTCAAGGTGCTAAACCTTAGTTGGAAGACTGCTCAAGCGCTCAAAAACAGGAGGGCGAATATCTTCGAATATAATTATAATATAATAATAATAACGAATATAATTTCTGGCAACATATCAAGCAAAATAAAGCCTGTAGCGCAAGGTACCAGTTCTAGGCTCATAGCATCATTCGTATCACTTCTCGGTATAACGACAAGAGCTTACTGAAGCACTTGCGTCGAACGTTTTCAAAGGTTCAAAATTCCACAATCACCACAAAACGAATTGGAGGGTTAATTGGAATAATTCTATTTTAAAACTTTTGAGAACAGCCAAAACTCCTACAAGGATCGATAAATCACCCATGACAGTTCTGGTCTACCATTAGTGTCCTATAAGACGAGGTATATGAGTGGAGCATTTCCGGATGACGATGTGATCCCAGCTGTGTTATGACGACACTGTTGGATATTGCTGAAACGAACACTCCTCAGAGGTCACCACCCATTAAACGATCAGAGCCACATACTAAATCGTCATGCCAGACACAACAAAATGTCCAAAAGCAGTGAAAGGTGCAACGTGGGAAGCGCGAAAAGTGCAGACATGCTGATGCAGGGAAACGAGCACGGAAACCCTCACAAATATCCTCGATATAACATATTGAAACGTTCATAAACTACTCCATCAATATTGTATTGAACAAAACCGTAAGAAATTGAAGACCGGTTCCCGGGAATCGATCTGTCACTCAAGGACACCACAGCACAGTCAAACTTAATACTAGAGTTACTCAGATAGCTGGGAGGTTGGTCCGCGGGGGTAACACGAAGATAACAAACAGCTTATAGTAAGTTTGTGTTACGGTTCTCACTCTCTCCATTCTCACATTTCACACCGCTCCCCTACAGCGTTCATACTTTGCGGCACCCTCTACCACCAGTGTTCGCAAGCGACCGCCAGCGCCTCAAGGGAGTAAGGAAGTTTGGATATAGATCTAGCGTCTCGGCGTCCGCCAGCGACCAGGAGTATAGTGCTGTGTAGTAGTAAGTGATGCGGTTGCACACGCCACAATTCCACGATGCTTAATCCAACGGTCTCCTCCCCCTTCCCCATACTCCACCAGCAGTCCTGCTACCCTCCTACTTCCCCACACTCTCTAGTCCTGGTAGCTGGTGGGCGTTGCTGCAAAGTATGAGCGCGGCCTAACACCCACCCGTCAGGTCGGAACGGCACATTCAAGGATACGTTCTCTGTTCATGACATTAATCAGGAGGTTTATTTATTGAAGAAAGTGTGTAAAATCACTTCAAAATTCTTATCACAAAAGCATCCTTAGAAAATGAAAATTAAAATTGATATAGTACTGCGGCTCCTGAACGAAATCTGATAAAAATACAACTTAGAATTCCAGAATTCCCGATTGGATTACTACCACCCAATAACTTCAAACAAAAACTTTGTGCTGAACTGTGCCTATATGTTTAATTCGCTGCCCTGATCACGAATATGATTTTGATTTTTGGCGCCAGCGCGCAACGCTGATGTAAGGCATCTGGTCATCTACGCTCCACCAAGCTCAGCCTGGGAAATCGTGCGATAAATGAATTTCATATTCGTAACCAGGGCATCAAACAATCTTGTTGTATAAGTTTCATCGATTCCCTGGAACGGTGGTGGCATCGAATGCGCCAGCGCCAACAACAAATATCATATGTGCGATCAGGGGACCTAATTACCCCTACAGACGAAGTTTCAGCAAGAAAATCCGAGTTCTTAGGGTTCTTAGTATCATAGTAACAATTCTGATTGCCCTAGTGCGGAAGTAAAATCCACCCACCCCCTGATACCGGCTTCAACTTGGCGTCGCATGTTTCCTTGAGCTATGTCCAACCAATTTCCACCAAAAGTATTATAGTTATGGATCGCTAACGATGCCATTATCAGTGAACGGTTGAGAGCTGAATAACATACTAATATTTAATATATCATTAGTAAAATAATTTTGTTTGTTTCAATTGCAAAACAACACAACATAGGGAAAACGCTCATTACCACTGCATGCAGAGTAATAGTCTTCACTTAGGAAATGATCTTGAGATGGCCTTGATTCAGGTATGTCTGGCCTATTTCAACTCCACTTGGCAGTCAGAATAAATAAAGATAAACCCGAGCGAGCAAGGCGAAGGCAAGACTAGTGTGGTAATAGGATAGCATTCGCAGATCGTTCTCCGGATTGGATCCTGTACAAAATAGATTGGCTTATATTCCTCGCGCGCTTCTCAGGAGCACTAAGAATGTAGGGATTTCGGAGCAGGGCACTTCATCATTGGGCTCGACAAAAATCCCCAACAAATGATGTGCTCTGATTGGAAGAAAATACTTTCGAAACATATATTCCGTGAAAGTGGCGCTCAAAAGCGAAACAAATATACCAAGATAAATCTATTCATTATGCAGCTGCAAGAGTGCCTACGTGTTGACTGACGGGCAGTGGAGTGGGTGCGAAAATAAAAATCACACAGCGAATGTAAACGTAAAATACCAGGCTTGAAATTCTATACGATCGTCCAGCAGCAATCTTATAGAATATTAATATTCGCCAGAATAATTTCTCAGAGACAATTTCTTGCGACAGGCTCATTACTTATGAAATGGTCATTGAGGAGTTGAAGACCTAAGTTCGAATCAAGGAATTCCTATTGCTGAGGAAAAGTTTGCAAAATAAGACCACTCCCACCCTTTCATTCTCCCTCTGGTATGATTCCCTTCCCACGCTACCGCTTTCCCAGGCTTTCCCAACCTCGTACCACCTTTAAATGAGCAGGGATAATTTTTTTTTCTCAAAGCCAGACACGAGCGTTCCCCTTTCGAAGCGACGAGCAGAACAACCTTCTCCATTTAGATTTCACAACGTTGTGGATAGCGAAAAACAAAGGGATCAACTTTCGAAAAGACTTTCTCAGGCCAATTACGGCCCGTTGAAATGTGCATAAGGGGCGCATGGCCATAGCCGTCCAAGATGTACCACTTGCATCAGATGAAAGGGTGAGCACATGGGGATCCCTACCCCCCGCCTGCACCCTAGGTGCGACTTGCGATACAGATTTCAACACCTTCAATATTCTCATTTGTTCGATTTTTCATCCGAGTCAGTGGGCTTTCCTTTCATAAATTTCTTCATTGCCACTTCGCAATCGCTGCCCCTCTAATGTGTTTAATTTTCGCGTATTTCTGTTGATGCGCTCGACCGCTCAGTCTCCCAAAACGCCGGATCGTCGATTCTCGCCGACCACTGGATCAACACAGTCTTTTCTCGTTGAGCAATCTAAAACCGCCTCAGCTCTCAAAATGCGGAATCTCCTCA